ACCTCCGGGGCAGGCGGGGATCGAACTCATGCGGAAGCGGCTTTAGATTCTCAGTGTTGTGCTTTAACCCGCTGTGCCACCAGGGAGGGCCTATTTATGCATTTTTTAAAGATTTATTTTATTTATGCATAACTGGGTTACAGGCCAGATGTGCAGGAGTGGTGAGAGGACTCATCAGAAACAGTGGGGAGCAGAACATGCAGATTTTGTACTCTGTTGAGGGGAGCAGCAGGCAAGGCAGGAGAGGTCTGCTGTGCCATGTGGATCACCTCTGGGACCAGGCATCAAACTCGAACTCAGCTGAAGCAGTTGCAGCTAGCTTGCAGTGCTGCACTTTAACCTACTGCACCACCATTGAGGGCCCCAACGTACCTACTTTCAGTTTATTGCTTCTCAGCTCCAAGTGCAAATTTTGTTATCTACTCTGCATTGATAAAGTTGAACTCTTGAAATATATCTTCTTTGCCAGCTGGCATGTTACATTTTGTCTGTAGAAGGTACTGAATATCACTGGAGGGGTAATGGGCTTCTCTCCCTGGCTCCATTATGCTCGTTAGATAGGCTCCTGAGCAGGTGTGGTGTCTGCAGGCCAGATTCCCACAGCAGGGCCTTCCCACTGAGGGGCCGGCTCGAGCAGCACACGTGCTTTCCTGCTGACACCATTCCAGCAGCACACGGCCTCTGCTTACCCTACTCCTGTGCTGCCCGTGTCAGTAGACTGGCACCTTCCCTGGGCAGCTTCCCTGAGCCCACGTCGGGGGTTTCACAGTCAAATTCCATTGGCTTGGAACCTCTGTAAATTACAGGTTTGCCACCAGAATTTCTGAAAGCGAACTTCACAATTCCTTCTGAGTTCTGACATGAAGCCACAGTAAACTTGGGTGCTTTTAGTAAACTGTAACTTCACATTTTTCAGGGAGGTCTGGACTTCAGCCCTGTATTCTTCACAGTTGTCTTTACTTCTTACTATTCAGTCCTCATTCCCTCTAGGCCACCCTGTGTAGGGTGATTCTTTCCATTACATTTTTGCTGTTCAAATTACTATGTAGTTTCTGTCTTATCAGTGAATTTTAATTATAGTCATCCTAGATAAAGATGTATCGAGTCGTTGATCTTTTCAAACAAGTTTTGGTTTCAATGATAATTCTTTCTTTTTCAGTTTTACTTTTCACTGACTTCTGCTTTGCTCTATTATTGCCTTATTTGGGTTTGATTTATTTTCTAGCATCCTGAAGTGGAAGCTTAAATTACTAACTTTGGACCTTTATTGTTTTCTAATCATAAGCATATATAAGATTTCTTTTTGATGCAAACGTTATTTATACATGTGTTGGCTAATAATCAAATATTTGTTCTCCCTGTATTACTTTTCTAATGTTATCTCATGTTACCACACATTTGGTGGAATGAAAAAACGAACCAAAGAGTAATTTTGGCCTAGAGCTGGTAAAAAATGCCCATATTATCACTCAAGAGATATGAAATGCTGATTCCATTCTCTAGTCCTAAAATGTTCTCAGGGCCATTTGTACACATGGTTGCACACTCCTGCAGACACTGGGGAAACCACACAGACCGAAAAAAAAAATTGATGCTGCACTGGACACAGGGCATCCTCACAAAAGAATTCAATTTTGCCTTTTATCTCAGCTGCAGAGAGTCACTACTTTAGCAGAGCTGGTCTCCAAGGATTAGTCAAAATTGCATGATGCCATTGCAGAGATCCTCATGGTTCATCACTGGTTGTTTCAATAATGCGAGAGTACCTCAGAGGTGCTTACCAATGACATGCAGCAATGACAGGAAGTAGAAGCAGTGTCCATCCTTGTGGGCAGTATGCCAAAGAGAAAAATGCTAACCAAGGCCACTTTACTATCACAGTGCCCAAAATGCTGAAAGAGTCGCTCTTCATAGACTAAAGGGATTGTTAGAGGTGGATAGGAAGTACGTCTTGAAATACTTTGAAGATGATGATTAAGTCTGTGAGCTCTTGATTAGGGAAAATGCAGCCTGATTCCACATGGACTCAGCTCTCCAAATCTGCTGGAGCATCTCTGCACTTGTTAAAATTGCAGATGGAGATGAGGGAAAACCTGTCTTGACTTGCTAAACTACTACCTGCATTTTCTATGCAACTAGTTCTCTGGTAGCTGTCACAAATAGCAGCTCCAGGGTCCAAAGAAGGTTCTGTTTTTCTCAGCAGCTGAAAGCATGTGAACATAGACATCCCTGTTTAATGGAGCAGGCCTTGGGAAACTTGGGGCAATGGAATCTAATCCATCTTTCCTGGGTAAGAATATTCTCTAGAAGGACAAGAACTGTGAGGGCTACAACTCCCTCATCACCTCAGTAGTATCTCCCTACCATGTACTATTATCTGGAAACAAGGAGAAAAAAAGCTTCTCTCCAAGCAAGACAGGTTAACAAACAAGATTTTTAGTCAGCATCTTGAACACCAGCATCTTATTTTTTTTTAAGATTTCTTTTTTTATGCATACAAGAACCGGGGTACAGGCCAGAGATGAGGGCTGGGGGTGAGAGGATTCACCTGAGACAGAGTGGAGAGCAGAACAGGCAGACTGACTGACATACACTGCTGAGGGGAGCAGTAGGCAGGTCAGGAGAGGTCTGTTCTTCCATGTGGGTCTCCTCCCTGGCCAGGAATTGAACTTGTGCTATAGTGGCTAGGAATCCCTTCATAGTGCTGTGCTTTAACCCATTGTGCCACCAAGGGAGGACTCTGTTTTGTCTTTAACTTACCCCACTTAAATTTCATTTCATAGAGTTGTAATATCTTTTGTCAGTTCTGGAACAATCTAAATATTTCCTCTGTGCCTCTTCTCTTTGCTTACATTTAATTAAATGTACTAAGGTCTCTTCATTTTGTTTTTTAGTATCTCTTTCCTCCCCTTGTCTTTCCTTGCTTTATTCTGGATATTTTTTTTTTCAATTCTCACTTCAGTTATATCTTTTGATGATTTTAAGCCTATCTATTTCATAAATTTCTTTCATAAATTTCTCAGCTCTATAATTGCTTTTGAATCAATTCCTAGTTTGCAGTGCACTTTCAAACATTTTGTAATTTATTCAGGCAAAAGAAACTCAATAAATGGATGCCAAAATTATTAGTTAAACTTTGACAAGGATGAGATAATTACATAGTCTCAAAATATCATAAATTCCTTAATAATTACAAAGGGGAAATTGATAACTTTAAGATGGAAAAACCTGGCAAATGCCTTCTCAACCAAGTGATCAAAATTAACATCACCAATAATGGAACAAGCTGAGGAGGACACAGTATTACTTCTCTGATATTACTGCAAAAAGAAATCCTAACCTGGATCTTATTATGAAGAAATATCAGACAAATAACAACAGAGCAACACTGCAGAATAGCTCACTCATACTCATGACAATATCAGTAGCATGAAAGGCAAAAAAAGAGAGGAGCTGTTTCAATTAAAAGCAACTAAAAAGACATGATTAAATGCAATGGATGATCCTGAATTACATGTGTGGGGCGGGGATTTACTGTAACGGACATTACCGGACAACTGGCACATTCTGAAAAGGGAAGGAAGCTTAGGTAATAATGTGCCCATGTTTTATTTGCAAACCTGGTCATTGTACTGCATTATATAATGTCCTTTTACTTAGGAAAATACATTCTGAAATAGACAGCAGTAAAGAAGCATGACATTTGCAACTTATTCTCAAGTTCTTTAGATAAAATTAGATAGCAGGGCCCTCTCTGGTGGCACAACGGGTTAAAGCACAACATTTTGAAGGGATCCGCAGCCACTGCAGCATGAGTTCAATTCCTGCCAGAGAGGTGAGACTCACATGGCGCAGCAGAACTCCTGACCCACCAGCTACTCCCCTCAGCAGAGTATTTCATCAGCCTGCCTGTTCTGCTTCCCACTCTGTCTCTGGTGAACCCTCTCACCCCTGCACCTCTGGCCTGTACCCCAGTTCTTGTATGCATAAATAAATAAATCTTTCATAGAATGAATGATAAAGTAAAAAGTAGAAAAAATGTTAAAAGTTGATAAATTTGCATGAAAGGTATGTGTGAATTTTTTGTTCTATTCATGAAGTTCTTACATAAATTTGAAATTATTTTAAAACAAAACTCTTTTAAAACTTACATTACCAACTCCCATAACTCTAGTTCCTTGCTGAAATTTTAAAGTCTGGCTTTTATTTATTTATTTTTAAATCTCTCATCTTTCTGTTTTAGTGATTTTTTTAAAAAAAGATTTATTTATGTATACATAGAGAACTGAGGTACAGAGATGAAGGGGTAGTGACAGGATTGGTAAAGTCCAGCTTTTATTACCATGAAGATAGTAAACAGTTATGAGGTTGTGTTTGGCAATGCAAATATCATAAGACTCTAGAGTAAATTATATAAATTTATATATATATATATATATATATTATAAATGCTAAGTAACTAAACCAGCTTGTTGGCTAGCTTCAAGTACATAAAGCTATTTTCTTTGAGTATTCCAGCCTTGACTAGCCTACCTGGTACATGTGTACCATAAAACTGAGCTTAGGCACTTCAATACTAATTTCCAAGAAAAATTTAGCAATTCAAGATGAAGGAAGAAAATAAAAAACTAGTTTCATAAGATAAGTCATTGATTAAATGGAAAAATTAGATTTCAAAAAGATAGTACCATTTACAGGATGTAGGGGTTCCTTCTGTAACAGTGATGAATGGGATGATGTGATTTCCTCTTCTTTTTTCTGATTTTTTAAAGCATTTTCGATGGAGGTTTTCAGTCCTGAGAAGGTCCAGTCAGTATAGTTCACCTGCTTCAAAATAAGACAATACTATATGCTGGTGATCTCTTGAATTTCTTTTCTCATACTAGCTCTTTTTAAATTTTTAATTTATTACTTGTCTTTAAGTTAAAAATATGTGTGTGTTATATTTCTAATAACACATAGTATAATTACAAGCATGTTATGTAATTATAATTTAATAAAACAAGTGCATAATTATGTGTTAATTATACAGTAATATAACATAATAACATAATTGTGTGTCATATTATATAAATCATATATAATTACAAAATTATAATTATATAGTAGTATATATTTACAATCTCATATATATATTTTAGGTGTTATATAGTAAACTCAATCCAGTTTCTATGAAAAACACTATCAAGACATAGCAGTTATTCAATAAATACTTATTTTTAAATTTACTTTGATTGTTGTTAAAGCAGATGGTGAGGGTTAGGGTTCTAAAGCTCTTTAAGCATGATTCAGAATCCATAATTTGTTTAATTAAATTATACTGAAATGGGTTGTGCCAATTAAACACTTATTAAACTACCTATGTTTGTGGAAACACAAAAAGTAATGTTTATTTCTTTTTTTTTTAAAGATGTATTTATTTATTCATATAGAACTGGGGTACAGGCCAGAGATGCGGAGGGTGAGAGGGCTCACCAGAGACAGAGCAGGGAGCAGAATAGGCTGACTGAGAAAGTACATTGCTGAGGGGAGCAGCAGGCAGGTCAGGAGAGGTCTGCCACGCCATGTGGATCTCCTCCAGGGCAGGCGGGGATCGAACTCATGCGGATGTGGCTTAAGCTTCTTAGTGCTGTGCTTTAACCCACGGCGCCACCAGGGAGGGCCAGTAATGATTATTTCTTATCTCCAGTATCTGCTCCTGTTTCTATCTGTGAGAATAATAAATTTGGGAATACTAAAACCCACGTTTTACCTCTGGGTTTTCTAAGGCCTTACCTGTAATGCATTTCCATTTAAGATGTTACGACTGAAATACTCCATTCTGTTCTTTCCTTGGATGCCTCCTCTTTTGCCATGTTTTCTTCTTGAATAGCTTGCCACCTGGTGTTCCTTTTCCTTCCTTTCTCCCACCTGAGGTGGTTTTTTCTTTGGTAGGTACTGGTCAGCTTCAGTGAGGATCTCAGCTGATGCCATTTGGTCCTAGGTAGAAGGGTCAGAGACAGTCTTACAAAATGATAGTTGAACAACTTCTGTACTCAAAAAATGGGATTTGTGAGCTGGCAGTAGACATTGATTCCCTCCTACATGGAATGGAGAGATCCCATCTTTCTTGTCCCCACAGTAAGAGCCAGGCTCAGCACTGGCCTCACATCATGATGATGGATGCATGTTGTTCACACAACATATGACTTTCATAGAAGGAATTTCTTTTACTCCAATTTTAATACTATCTTCCTCAAATCTGCCCTTAGGATTGGTAAAGATATGATACCTGGGGAGGTAATGACTCCTTTTCCTTTTCAAGTGAGATCTCTAGATTGTCCTTGGTGGTGTTCTCCTCAGTCTGAGCTTCTGGTTTCAGGAAGCTCTCCTCAGTCTGAGCTTCTGGTTTCAGGAAGCTCTCTGGGGCTAGATAGCAAGATTTCCAATCCAGTTGCACCTGAACAGATCCATTGGGTTTCCCCGCAGGATCAGTGAGGTTAAAATCACCTGTGAAACATGCAGACATTAAGAAGTTCTGATCACATAAAATAGGCCAGTGAGCATGTGTCAGGAATGTAAGGTCTCCATTCCCATTTTGAATTTCATCATATTTTGTTAAAAATTCACATCAAATAATCATGATAATACATTTAGAAAAAACATAAAATAGCAGGATACTTTGAATATTTTAAGGGAAATAGTCATCTCTAGGTTTCAGGAAGAGATAGTCCAAAAGTGGAGAGGAATATGGCTTACTTGTCACCAGCCACCCAGCCAACAAACAAGATCACATTATTACTCTACCAAATGCTCACTATGCCCTAGATGTACCAAGGAGACCATTATCTACACTCAAATGGTCTATACTTGTAAAACAACAAAGCCAAGAAAATTTTAGCAATGACTTTTTCTAAATGCCAGACTTCTAATTTGTAACACTGATTAATTTAACAGATGGATCATGTTGCCTCTCTTTTTTGGCAAAGGACTAGTTGTGAGCTTAAGTGTCAGCTTTTTTTCTTTTGTTTTAGCAGTTGTGTTATCGGGACCTCACATACTTCATGGAACATCCAGAAGCTTATTAAACAGGGTTGCTACTAGAGATACACTCCAGACTTCCTCACAAGCATGGGTAAATAAATTTGCCTCACTCTCCTAGATACAGCCAAAGGGGTGACTTGCCTTGCTCTGCCCTACAACACTGGGTCTGAAAGTAAAGGTAGCAAGAACTCAGCTACATAGTGGTGGGGAAGGGAGTCCAAATTGGTCTTTCTTGTGGTGTGGCATGGAAGTCTAATGTGTGTCTAATGTTTCAAAGAAGTATGAGAATTATGGGGGAGTGTTAAGCACAATTTAAAATCCAGTATCCATATGCTAAGAAATGAGAAGTCTTGAACAAAGACAAATACTGTGAAGCATTACACGATCAGAAAATATTTGTTCTGAGACAGAAATATAGTGGATCAGACAGGTTGGGGGATCTGCCCACTTGGGAATCTTGCTTTTGTTGCTGAAAAGATGCAGCAGAAGCTAATGTTTCCACATGATTACAGAGGCTCTAAATCTTCTGCTCTGTTGTTCCTGACAATATTCTAAAGGGTTTTCAACAGTTTTTGAGAGACTGTTCCAAGCAAGTAATCAAAGCAAAGTAGAATTAAGAAAGGGAAACCACACTGGGCAGAGAGCATTAAAGATGTAATAACTTTAAACTCCCACCTTTAATGGATTTGTTTTGTGCAAGAGGCAGCAAAGGCACTTGGACTCGGCCAAGGAACATGCCAGGCTCTGCATCTTCATCATCAAAAATGTACAGAGACAGGGTCTCCCTCCTCAGATACTGGTCCAGGTCAGAGGTCACAAGCACTGGGAATCGAGCCTTGTCTCTAAAGAAGGGACTGTTACTGGCTGGAATGATGGCAGTGTCGTGGTCAGGAAAGGTGAAGAAGCGGTACATGGCATATGGACTGGGTTGGGTTCCCAGCCATCGACTCTGCAGGCCACAGCACCTGATGATTTCCACCTGCAGTTCATTCTGATGCTTCCGAGTCTCTGATCTGAACTGGAAAGATGTTGGTCTTGAATTGAGGAAAAGGTAGCTGAGAGAGTTGTAAGCAAAGCCCAGCACCCTTGGAGCCATGACTTAGAGACCTACTGAATCCTGATTGGGTTACAGAGAGACTTAATGACTTTCACCTGCCTGCAAATTGACTCTGGCAGATAGTTATTCCAAGGAGATACTGCTACTCAGGCCTTATCTGACACAATGGAACAAAGAAGCTTTTTTCTTTTTTATCATAGTAGGAAGAACTAGCTAGTTCCAAGGGCATAATTTCACTCCACAAACTCGAGTTTGATCAAGGCATGATTCCAGACTAGTTGTAAATATGAGTTTTTCTCTTTCAACAACTACATATACAAATACTTATTGAGACTGCAAGATTGAGCTGTTTTCATGAGCTGTTTGGCTGAAGCTCCTTTGAGATGCCTGGGCACATTCTTTTTCTCACCTCATCCTCCTGGACCTCCCAGGCTCCAAGCACATTGGCTGACAGGTAAGCTTGAGCTTTCCTTTGCTTAATGCAAGCCTGCAGGCTGGGTCTTATAGGGAATCGCAGCCTCATCCAGTACTCTAGCACCCCAAACTCTTCTCCACCAGCTCCTGAGTAGCAGAAAGCATGAACGGTATGGAAGATACAGATGATGTGGTGAGGATGGGGAATAAAGGCAGAGGAAGAAAATGGGAAACCGCTAAAAGAGTAATCAGAACTTAAGAAATCCTGCAATAGGCCTGCGGGCTGTGGGAAGCTGAGAGCACTTACCAGTAATTATGGCAGAGCCATGAACTCTCTCCACAGTCTCCAGAACCCTGCCAAAGCAAATCCACCCCACTGCCAGGGTATGGTGCTCACTGGCTAAAGCCTGGTGTATATCAAGCCGGGAGGAAGCCTCTTGAAGGTAGTGCAAAAAAAGATAATCTGTTTCCACCACATACTGAGATGTGAAGTCATAAAGGGGCTGTGACCCCATAGCTAGTGGTGTACAGTGAGTTTCAAAGTCATAGAAGGAATAGGTGCAGAAGGTGGTAGGCTGAGTGTCTCCGGCCTGAGCCAGCGCAGCAGATGTCAGGAAGGCCTGGTGGATGTGCAGTTCAAAAAGATTCTCACTCTGATGAAACAGAGAAATGTCCACTTTATCCTCACTTCTGTGTGCTGACATTATTTCCAGGCATGGCAGTGGTCGGGTACCATAAGCCACATCTTTGAGCTGTTCTAGAGAGGAAAGAAAACTGTCTATCTATTAAAGGGTAGGGAGCTATTCCTTAGGGGAAAGGCAGGCAGACAGACAGAAGGAGAATATAAACCACACTGGCAATCCAAGTTGTGGCTATTTCATGAAATAGCATGAATCAAGTGGAAAGCAACAGAATGAGAACCAGGTGCTTTGAATTCTGATGTCCAGGTTATCCAAATCCTGCTTTGGAGATATGAGTGATTGAAAAGGAAACATTAAGGTCAGGAAAATGCAAGCGGCACATTACCATCTTACAGATGACACTGTTTTGGCTTACAACAGGTCCTAGCAATTCACTGGCAACTGCACTAGCGCAACAGAAACACAATGTGAACATTTCCAACAGCTTAGGACACTGGCCATGGAAAGAACAGCACATTACAGGAATAGTGGCTATTACACTGCACTACTTGAAGGGCCCTACCAAGAAATGCTTCTTCTGCTCCAGGCAGATCAACCACAAGAATTTTTATTTTATTAGGAATTTGGCTTTATTTACTGATAAGATGGCAAAAACAAAATAGTTAAGTCAAAGAGTAAGGATGTAAGAAGTGGAGAGGAGACTTACTGGAAAGAAAGTCAAAATATTGGCAATAAGATGCAAAGATATGTAAGATAGGCTACCACATCTGAACATTATTCTCCAAATCCAACCAGAAAGTGTTATATATCACTTCAAATTGGGAAGTATTTTAGTCGTCATAATGTGTTGATAGCAAAGGTCCTATTTTAGGGTTTAAAGTAGTAGAATAAAAATATTCTGGAGACAACAGAATATCTTCCTATCCAAAATCGATTTAAAGATGAACAGTCTCCTAGTTGATAAGGTTAGTAAAATTTATTAAGATATATTTAAAAGTTTGCACTACACAAGATTAATAACCTTAGTATACAAAGAACTTTTACAAGTGAATAAAAAAAATCTACTAAGAAAATCTATTAAGTAAAGATAGGAAGAGATAATTCTCAAATAATACAAATAACCGGTAAGCATAAAACATACCCTTTAACCTTACAGGCAATGAAAAACTTTAAGTGAAAGCAAATTAATCTTCAGAAGGAGGTAAGAGCCCTTATCTGATACTATCTGAGAGAAAGACCTTGAATTTAAAAGACCTGAGAATTTCAGCCCAAGGCAGGGAGTTCCTTTTTCTAGGCATTGACTTTTTGACAGATTTACCTTGGCATGGATAAATCATGCCCAAGAGTGACCCAACTCCCCTCCCTTTTTTTTTTCCAGTGTAATAAGTTATTTCTCCATCTTCCTTTTTAATCTAGCTCATACTCACAGCTTTATAAACCTATTGTAGGTACACTTGTTTTCTACTTTTTAAAAATCATTTCATTAATCTAACATTGGTTTCCAACACTATGTATGATTCAGAAATGAGGATCTCACCTCTTCAGATGAATGTTACCACACCATACCCCACCACTCAGGCACCCACAGTCCTCTGCCACAGTTTACTTTGCCCTCTCCCACTTTTAGTCTCCACCCTCCCTCCCAGTAGCCTCGGTTTTATGGTCGGATTTCTAGGGTTTGTTTTCAGTGTGGTTTGGTTGGACTATCTATTTTCTTTTTCTGTACTCCAAAGTCAAATCAGGCCCTGGTCCACAGTGGCCCTGGTCCACAGTGACCTACAAAAAATAGGAAGTACCTAAGCCAGAAAGAGAAAGAAAAATACCGGATGGTTTCACTCATAGCAGGAGTATAATGGACCAGGCGAGAAAATAACAAAAATAATGAACAGCCA